TCTATGTAAACAAACCTCATCACTTGAGAAGGTAGGTGATGCGGACGTCGTGGAAGACATTTTGTCCCGTAACGCTCGCCGTACTGTTGGCGGGGAGAAGCGGTGGGGGGAGATGTTCATGTTGCTGCGGTCTGCAGTCTGGACTTTAGATGTCGCTGAAAATTACACACTGTAGCTTTAAATGAACAAAACAAATGCAAAATCTGTGATTATATATCTCTGTATACAGAAATATTGTAGAATTGTTATCACTGTTTTAGGTTACGGATAGTAAAACCCTGATGATCCAAGCTTTCATTGAAATGTACAGTAAATATTTTGTACAGAGAACTTTGAAAATGGCTCTACAGACAAGTCTGAACATTTGACCCTGGAAAGAAGTAGGAACATTGATAATATTAGATAATGATTGGTTGAGTAATGCTTTCAGATCTTTTTTCTTTATCCTGCATTTAATCTAACAGCATAATTTATGTAAAAGAATAAAAGGTTCCTTTTCAGTTTTACTCTTAGCTTCAGTCTTCCACAGGTCCTGTCCACCTGCAGTTATTTACAAATAATTATCTGCCATTACTGTCCATTCTGTTCGATTCAGTAAAAGAAAAAAAAAAACAAAGCTAACAGAGAAAATTTAAATGATAAAAAAAAGATATAGAAAAGAATTTGCACATTATGCGAGACAATTTTTTGTCTCTTATGTGATTTATCCTAAAATATTAATAGAATCCCAGTGAGTTCAGAAAACATGTCAATATGCCCTGACAGGAGTTGAGGAAGTGGATAACGCTGCTGTTGGTCAGGAACTTGGTAAAATGCAGGGTTTATAAACAGAAACCTTTGAGTAATAAGGGTTTCTCAATTCAACCTCAGCGGTACTGCTAGCAGCCTTGATATTGTCACTTTTAGAGGCTGAATTACGATTGGTTTGGTGTTATATCAATGTGACACTTTTCACTTTCTCATTTGTCTTTGCATGGTTTAAGTAAATCCTCCATCTTAACATTGTTGTTTCTCTTATAGGTTCTGCTGCTTATTGACATAGAGCTGTCCTACATAAACACCAACCATGAGGACTTCATAGGCTTTGCAAAGTATGTAACCATCCTTCTTATTCTAGGTGTATTGTGTAGCTTGGTGCTGTGACCTCAGCCTTACTGAATAACTGTTGTGCTGCATTTGTAGATGAGAGTAATCTAAAATAATGACTGATTAATCTAAATGACACATGTTGAGAAACTCTGATACAACGGTATCTGTTAGCTTGTTATTTAGTCATTCTGCCACATCAGAGCTGGTGTCTCCCTGTGGGGGAGGTGACTGCCGCAATAATCAACATCCATCCGTTGATCAAACTTTCATGTTTTTTGTGAGGTTCTTTACACCTGCATGAAAAAAATCCCACCTTACCCCATATATCAGTCATCATCATGTGTGTTTTGCTTGAAAAAAACGAAGAAAAAAAAAAACTTTTCCTATTTGCAGCATGCTGTTGTACTCAAGGAAAGAACAATGCTCGCGATTTCTATCAGTTGCTACTCTGCTATGGAAACTAATTTGCACACAGCAAAGTGTTCATGTTCTCTGCGGTTTATCTCAAAGCAATCTAGAGTTTGCGGGTGGTTTCATGTGCTTCCTAGTGCTGCAGTAACAGTCATTTATAGTTGAGAGGAGCGCCTCTGCAGTGTGGATTTTTTTTCTTTTTTGACAAAGTAACAAAAAGTCCCTTTGGGAGCATGTGTCAGGGTTAACATTTTGGCTCTGCATGGCAAGGGAATTGCCGTATTGCATCGGCAGGAGCGTTTTAATGGTTCTCATGACATCACTTTCAGTCTTGACTACAGAAGGCTGGATGATGGTAGCTCCCCAGGGTACGGCAACAACAGGTGGGCAAACAGGAAAGATGGAGCGTTTGGTTTGTTCCACAATAGCATGTCCACAAAATATCATTGAAAAGTGAATTTATTTCTGTAATTTTATGGTTTATTGCACATTAAAAAAAACGTCTGGTTATATATAAGAGCTATAAAAGTAGATTTTTTTTGGTCCTTCATAATGACTTAGAAAACAGAAATGGTGGGTTTGGTGAAAGGTATACATCTTATTATTAGCAATTCTTGGTGGGTTTCGGTCAGTCCAGTTTTCTCAGTGATAATATGGTCATCAATTATCGGTACTTTTAGCTGTGTCAACAGAAGCAAAGACTAACAAGAAAATGAAATCAGCATCTCCAAAACAAGCTATAAAAGCCCATGGTTGAAGATTTGGCTGATGCATCACGGGGGATCATAACCCCGGTGTCCTCACCAGTGCTAGTTTCTATTAACCATCAAGTTGTGAAAATTGTAACTACAACAATAAATCTGCTAAATGGAAACACTGCAATTTATAAAAAACTCTTTTTTCGACGTGAATCCGGTCACGTGATCTAGAACTAATCTTACCGACTAGTAAAAAGACAAAGAAGAGCAGACGTAGTTGGAGGATGTTGGCGCCCTCTAGTGCTGTGGCAGAAAAACGGATGTATCATGTAGCTGTCACTGCCAAGTTCTTTTTATCGCGTGAACAAACGTATTCACGTGCACTTTTGGTTGTTTTACTTATTTGATAGAAATAGTGCAATTGTGATGATTTGCATTTTTCATAATTAGCATCTTAAGGCTACATTTGTTTTCAGATCCTTTCTTGCCGAACTTATTCCTTCCACTCAACTTTCAGTATATATGTTGCTACTTTAGCAACAGCTTTTTGTGACTTGGTTACCATCTGCTGTCTGGTCTTCTCTATGAAACACAACCACTGTGAGCCATAATCATCAGAAATAAGAGAATAAATGCTAGAATTATTTCACTTTATCAGAGGTCAACAATTGAAATAAGTGAACTTTTCAATGATCTTGTAATTTAAAGAGTGCCCCAGCATTTAAACTTTTTTTTCTTAAATCTCTTTAACTTTGAGTTTTTGTGGTGATTGATTTAGTTGACACATTTTAAATCTGACCTGTTTCCTTTATAAAACTGAAAATCAGAGGAATAAAATCAATAGGAAGTGATCAACACATTAAAAATACTGTAAAAATGTTTCTGCCAAGTTCTTTGGTATTTATCTGCTGCCTTTCTTTTTGTATACAGTGCTCAGCAGAGGAACATTGCTACGAACAAGAAGAGAGCAGTACCCAACCAGGTATGTTCTATCATCTCCTCACCCATGCAGGTTCAATAGTCTATCTCAGATGAGCCTATTAATCAAATTATCAATCCTCAGCCAGTAATCTTATGTCTTCCTCTGGTGACATCCTTCTTTTGTAGGTCTAATGTTTATCTATTTAGCGTTCTAAAAGTGCTATTTCTCATGCTGTATCATCTTGGATTTATATTGGTGAATTTGTTGTTTGAATGCAGCCCTTTTGACAATGATTGTTTAAAGGGAGAGCTGTGTTAATGATTATAAGGAAGACCCCATTCCCTGCTTTTTGGCAAGAGCTCATCTCTTCAGGACTGCCATTTGTTTCCTGCATGTTATCTGTGCATGTTGTATTGGCACATCAATAATGAATAACTGAATTATGTTGATTGTTTTGCCTTTCTATTAACTCCAAAGCATCTTGGTGCTGATTAGAATTTGAAGATGTGCATGGATATCACAACAATCATCTGAGCAATAAATGTGACATAACCGAATTGTGATATACCTTGAAGTAATTTTAATTGCATGTAATACTTTGCCCTGTCTCTCTCTCTCTCTGTCTCTCTCTCTCTTTTTCTCTTTCTCTCTGTGTTTTCATCTGTTTTCTCTCTGCTTCTTGGATTTTCTCCTTTATTTCTCCCTTAAAACTACCTTTCCTTCTCTCTTTTACTCTTCCTGTTTGTTCATTTTACTTCTTCCTATTTATTCCACAATTCTTCTACACAACTCAAACTGTCCTCCATCTTGGCTATTTTTGTTTTCTCTTTTGCTTTGATTTTTGTTTATATTAAAACTACCCCTTGGCTTTAACCCCACTTCCCTTCCTGTTACTGCAGGGTGAGATTCTGGTAAGTACCTCACATTAAACCACACCCTGCCGGGGGCAGCAGGGGTAGGCCATGCAGAAGAACTGAGGCCGTATCCGTAAAGGTCAGCCAGTTCAGTTAGTGTTGAACATAAACTCCTCGGAGATCCGCGGGTGAATGTTGGCTCCTGTGTCAAATAAAGGCAATACCTTCACTTTAATAAAATGTCTTCCCCCCCCCCTCTGCAGCTTGTCGGGCTAGGAGAGGTCAAGGAAGAAAAGGTAGAGTCTTCAGGATTACAACAGTGTCATTAATTGTAATTCCAACATCGGTGTACAGTTGCCAGTAATTTGGGCTGTCACTAACACTTGACCTTTTTAAACTTATAATCTTTATCAAAGGAGGCAGTAATTGCCAGTAATTCTACTAACATAGTTTTTATTGTGCACATTTAAAAAATGATTTAATTTATTGTGCCATCAGAACATGGTGGCACAGTACAGTCCTGCGACACGAGAGAGAAGATGAAGAAGCCTACCACCTGTAATTGTGGGGGTGTCAGTTCCTCTGCCACTGGGTTTTTACCTCTGCTGCTGCCTCATGCATGGTGATCCAAATGTTTGCCTTGTGAGAACCGTCCTGAAGGCCTCTGGGGAATAACGGGAGGAGCGGGACCAATCAAATCAGCAGCATACCTAAAAGTGTATTCTTTGATTTGAAAAACAAGTCTTTTGATTGGTTTTCTTTTAAAATTTCTAAAATAATGTTTATCTAACAAAATTGTGTGATTATAATCTCTTATCTTATGCACTGATTCCCTTTATTGAATCTGGTGACTGGTCATGGCTTTGGGCTGTATGCTAATGACTGAACAGATAAATCGTTGTTAACTTTCATTGTTTTATTTCCTGAAGTCTTATCAAGGCAAGCTTCGTTTTTGTTCAGACTGGATATAAAGAGTCCACACAGCCCTGTTAAAATGCCACGTTTTTGTAATGGAAAAAGATTAGAGTAACAAATCTTTTCAGAACCGTTTCCACCTGCGATGAACCATATTTCTATTAAGACTCAATGAAACAAACAGAAATTTTATTATGTTGATGACTTATAAAAACACACACCTACACAGATTAGCTTATGCTGATTTAGTTTATAAGCACAGCGCTTCTTAACTTTCCGATCACTTTGCTAAAATCTTCCTGGTTTATCAGATCATCTCGTATCATGTTCTTATTACCCCACGGGTTTCTCATCAGATTTATTTTGATTCTGATAAAAACAGCTCTCCAAGAAGAAAGTAGCTGCCAGTAACTAACACATTTTTTTTTAAATTCATTGTCTAATGAAGTTACTTTCACCCAAAGCCTGAAAGTTTTCTACTCACTTCACACTGTTTGGAAGTGTTCATAACCACAGCTAAGGCAACAATTGCCGTGAAAGGGGCAAAAAAAAAAGGACTCAGAGCATGATGCTGCCACCACCTTGCCCGACTATGGGTTTGGTGATGTGCAGTGGTGTCTTTGCACTAAATTCTTTCACTTATTTGGATTATGAGGAAAAGGTTAAACACTGATTTAATTTTTTTTTGAACGGTAACTCATCATCCCACCTGCTTTAAGGAAATTTAGTTTTTTGTAGAATTTATGTGGGTTTGTATTTTTTTCATATAAAGTTACAACTTCTATCTCATGGCTGATCACTATCTTTTTTGCACGTCTCCTGACTGATACCTTATGTTAACATTTGTAAGCTCTCAGCAGACCCTGGGTTTTACTGATTGAGCCAACTATGCAATTTTTTGAAATGAAATGAAATGAGATTTATTTTGAACATGATATAAATATAAAAAATAAAATAAAATAGTGCACAGTAACAAGAAGTGCATAAAAAGAAGAGAAAAATACAGATATTTGTTTCCATTAACATATCATGCTCAAAAATGGGGTAGGAAGAAGTGAAAACTTATTAACTCCTACCCCCTTTTCAGATAAAGCAATTGATGCTGATGAAATGATAGCTGGTGGGCACTGGCTCCTGCTTGACCCCAGTTTAGTTTTGGGCCCAGTTATGAAGCTCTTCTTCCTTATACAGCAACGTTGCAACCTTCAACAAATGATGTACATTTCTTGTATTTCATTTTTCAAATCATAGATAAAAATAAAAGTGAAAAAAGACAAATTGTTTTTACAATTTTTTTTTTTCACATTTCATAAACGTGGCATTTTAGCAGGGAATAATAGACCTTTTATATCCGGCATATATGTGTTCTATATGATATTTTTGTTGTTGATCTCAGATGTCGTCTGTCAGCTTCAACTAACCCATATTAATGCAGAACATTTTGTCTAAATAATATGGAAAGGGAAACAAAGCATCTGTGACTCCCTCTCATGTCATAAACCAGATGACTGTAAAATAACAAAGGAAATGGTGATTCCAGCTTTGAAAAGCTTGAGTCATATCCCTTCTAAGGCAAATTTCGTAGAACTCTCTTTACTCCTCTCCCATATCGACATTGGACCTTTTAAGCTTAGTGAAAGGGTTTTCCCTCCAACCGTCTCCCACTCATGTTCTTTCCTCCATGAAAAGGGACTGTTTACTAAAAGCATGAGGAAGAGTTTATAACGTATCTAACATATAAGCTCCTTGTTTTAACACTGCCTTTTTGATATTGTAGTTAAATTGGACAGGAGGGAATGTAGAAAAGTATAAAGTTCTATTACAAGGTCTTTTGCAGAGAAATGTCTAATTTCTTTCCTAACTAACCTCTTATCAGTAGTCGTTCTCTCACTCGGTCTTTTCTGCTGCCTAGAATGTAATTTGTTTACATTTGTTCTCTGCAATCTAAACTAACCGTTGTCGGCTTAAATAACCCGTTCACACTGAAAGCTTGTTCATTAACCTGTGTAGCTCTTTCTTATGAAATGAAGCACCTCATGTATATCTTCTCTGACTAACCTTCTGACGCCGCCGTCGACCTTTTGTTTTTTGTCCCTAAATTGGAGCGAGAATGCCCGAGAGAGCATTTTTGCTTTCCTGATGAAATGATTCATTTTCTGTTGAATAAATCAGGGCATTTCCCTTTATTTCATTTCAGTAGTTCCATTCTGGATATTCTTTGAATTTAGCTGTCCATTCCAAGATGCACGTGTTGCTATCCTTTGATCACTCTTTCCTTTTTGTGGTTTATGTCATGTTAGGTCTTGAATACCACTAAAATCACAAATTCCAAACATTTAACATTTAGATCTAAAATGTTAGCAAAAGTAGTCTTTAACCGCACAGGTAAGTGACTTCATTTTTCCAGTGTTTGTCAAATCCTTGAATCAAAAAATTCTTTTTTTTTTTTTTTTTGTCCTAATTTTAACAGTGAAAAAGCTTGACTGTTTCTGTTGCTTTCTTCCAACTTCCTAAAATTCCCAACCTCCCTGCGCTCCTGGTGTCCTCCACACGTTTCCCTCACTGTGTAGGTAATCAGGAAAGGCTGGCTAACCCTCCACATCAGCATCATGAAGGGAGGCTCCAAGGAATACTGGTTCGTGCTGACAGCCGAGTCTCTGTCCTGGTACAAAGACGAGGAGGTGAGAGGACTCTGTTCTCCATTGACTTATTTAATGTGACATAAATGGGTATAACTCAGTTCAACACCAGAAAAGCGTGAAATTACTCCAGCATGCTTTTGTGCAATTTATCCCTAATGAGGATTTGGTGCCGTCGCCATCAGAGGTGAGGAGCTGTGTGCATCCCAGCCTAGCCTAACCAATGTGCAGACTACTGTTCAGCTGTAGCTCTAGGAACAGGTAGTCTGAACACTGGGCAGGCTGGGTGGGGGGGTGGGAGGAAGGACCCAGAGGTCATTGCGTCTGTAGGACAGAGGACACAGTTTAAATATTACCCAGTAGTTGTAAATATAAAAAAGCAGAGTACGTGGCAGTTATGTATTGTTCTAAATTAGAGTGAAAAGCAAACAAATAAAAATATTTAGATGATATTGATTTAATCTGACTCAGTAAAAATAGTTTCTTCGGTTAAAAATTGCCAATTTTAGAGCGTTTACAGATAAAGGAACTGAAATATTAGACAGGTAATTTGTAAAGTATTTGTCTCAAATGATTTTCTGATCAAAATGAATAGTTTGGGATTGTTACTCACCACTCGGTCTCTCTCTCTCAGGCCTCTGTTGTTTTTCTTTTTTCGATTAAGAAAAGAAACCTAAAAAAGTCTGATGCAAATTAGAAAAGAAAAACCGCATTCTCTCGGTGTTGGTTTTCTCTCACTTTCGCTGCCTTTTCTGAAAAAGCTAAGAGAATAAGAGGGGTAGGAAAAGTGTAGGCAAACTGACGTGGCAGTCAAGCTGAAATGTTCCAGCCGGGATCTGACTTTGGAATTTGCAGGAAATCGTACTGGGTTACGGGGGCTGGAGGGGAGGGGGCGATTGTGTGTACAAGTGTGTAGGCGCTGGCCTGCACGACTCCCGCCGGCTGTTTGGGAAGTTGACCTCATCTGTACAAGTGTCTTTATGATCACACTTAGTTTTCTCTTTGTCCCGTTCTTTCCTCCACATGTGAGTTTGGTTCCATCAAGAAGCTGAGGATTTACCCTGCTCTGTGTGTGTTTGTGTGTGTGTGTGTGTGTTTGTGTGTGTTTGTGTGTGTGTGTGTGTGTGTGTGTGTGTGTGTGTGTGTGTGTGTGGGTGTGTGTGGGTGGGTGTGGGTGTGTGTGTGGGTGGATGTGGGATCAAGGAGTGGAATTGTGCAGATCTTTGAGTGATGTAACTTTTGGTCCTGTGCCACTCTGTAAGTGCAGATGTAAATGCTTCCAGATGTCTCTATTCAGCACCCCAACCAGTCCCTCTAGAAACTCCTACTTTTCTTCCTCCTCATCATCATCTTGATTACAATTTCCCCATCTCACAAGTCTGGGGGTGGTCTTTACTGAGGAAATGCTTCATTTTTTTCCCTTTAGAAACAGTGAGCGTCCACATTTAAATTTTATTTATTTAATCAGGACAGAGCACATTAATGAACAATCTTATACTTCTGTACAGATTGTAAATAAGCCAGATTATAGCATAGTTGCTAATTTAAATCTGTCATCCTGAGGCAGGAAGATAAAACAACACAAGATCACATAATACAATATCAGTCAAAACATATAGACACACGTTCAGACAATGACATTACAACAATAAAATTAGTAAGTGCATGACTGGGAACTTTTAAGAAACTTTTAAATGCGCAATAAGTGGGACATTCCCTGATGTTTGTTGGGAGGCTGTTCCAGTAGTGACCCCCTCTGACTGATAGAACAGTTTGTCCAAATTCTGATCTCCTCACGTGTCTGCGCTTTGTTTTTGAAAATCCAAAATGTATTGAATGAACATATTTTCAGCATTAAGAGACTTTATTTAGATATTTGTTCTGCTAATCTATTCTTAAAAAGAAGAAAATTATCAAACAAAAGGTTTAAAAAGAGAAAGATGGCTATTAATACATTTATTTTTTATCCAATTATCTTATAGATTAAGAACATTAAGCATATATAAGTAGTTATTATGTATGTATTAAAATGTCCTGTGTTTTATAGCATGCGTGCTCTTAAATTAAGTTTTATGTGTTTTATTTAAGGAAAAAGAGAAGAAGTACATGTTGCCTTTAGACAACCTGAAGATCAGAGATGTGGAGAAAGGCTTTATGTCCACAAAGCACATATTTGCCATCTTTAACACTGAGCAGAGGTCAGTGTTCTCCAGTAAACTCCAGCTGATGCACATTGATTTTATTTTGTTGGGTTTTGTTCAGTTATATGTTGCTTCAAGGTCTCAGTAAATCAGAATTTTGTCGATTATCTTAACAGGAACGTCTACAAAGATCTACGACAGATAGAGCTGGCCTGTGATTCTCAAGAAGATGTAGACAGCTGGAAAGCTTCCTTCCTCAGGGCAGGAGTTTATCCTGAGAAAGACCAGGTATGACAAATGGATTTTGCAGGATTTGTCTTCTGAATTGGTAAATAGGCAAATTTCTTCTTTTATTTATTTGTTTTTATTTTTTTTACACATTATGCTCAGATTCTGTTGGCTATAAATGCATAAAACAAATAAGCCGAAATAAACCAAAATAAAATCTGTTTTTTTTAAGGCGGCTTGCCTCCATTTATAGTGCCTTAATAAAGCTTGGAACAATGTGAACCTCTTGGTTCTGGTATGATGTGATGTTTTTGTGGAAGGTGGAGAACGAAGAGGCTGCACCTGCAGACACATTCTCAATGGATCCCCAGTTGGAGCGGCAGGTAGAGACCATTCGTAACCTGGTGGACTCGTACATCGGCATCATCAACAAGTCCATCAGAGATCTTGTGCCCAAAACCATCATGCATCTCATGATCAACAACGTGAGTGGAGCATTTAGCACCTGCAGGCCAAGAACATTTACCTTGGGTTTGGATTTTATGTCCTTTAAATGGACCCAATACAACCTGTGTGAAGTCATTAGTCTTTCTTATTTAAAACATAAAGAAAAGAAGTGTTATGGCACACTGTGATGTTAGTAAACCAATGTTGACATCAGGCTGGATACATCCGTCCTTCCTAGATCAATAGGAGCAAATACTTCTCTTTTATATCAGGAATAACATCAAACTAAAAGCTAGCATAAAGAAGAGATTTCAAATATTAACTTTTCATAAGATAGAAGGTTTTGTTGTTTATTCTGACACTTAATAAATGTTACTGCTAAAAAATAAAATGCTAATAGCACCTGTAAGACATTCATTGTTTTCTATTCCAGTGAGACTACACCTTATGTCCTGTGTCTTTTTAAAATTATTATTACTGCTTTATATCCTTAATTCTTTCAGCTGATAAAATAAATGCATCTGTTTTGGCTACTACTGCTTCACTATATGTAGTTTTTGTCATTGTGACTGAATCTGATCCCTTCCAGGCTAAAGATTTTATCCACTCGGAGCTGCTGGCTTATCTTTACTCCTCCGGGGACCAGAACAGCCTCATGGAGGAGTCTGCTGACCAGGCCCAGCGCAGGGACGAAATGCTGCGCATGTATCATGCGCTGAAAGAAGCACTGCACATCATAGGCGACATCACCACCAACACCATCTCCACACCAGTTCCTCCACCTGTAAATGATAATTGGCTCCAGGATTCCAGGTAGGGAGGGATTTCAGTTTTCCTTTAAGTGTTTAAATTAAATTAATTTATTTTAGGCATCAGCTAATGATTTTATATATCTATTGTAGCCCAACACCTCAGCGAAGACCGACCCCTGCAGCGTCCCAGCCCCCCAGCCGTCCACCTGCTGTCCGGGGCCCAACTCCAGGACCTCCACCAACTATGAACCCTTCCCCTGCCTTTAGCACCTCCCCAGCATTTGGTGCCCCCCCCATCCCCTCTCGCCCAGCTCCACCCGCTAATGCTTTCAACAGCAGTCAGGATCCGTTCAGCGCTCCACCACAGATCCCCTCCCGGCCAGCCCGTATCCCACCCGGCGTACCCAGGTACGAATTTAGTTTAAAGCACAATAACCAATGATTTTTTTTTTTTTTTACATTTAAGGGTCAATATATAATCATAAAGATGGAGCCATCCAGTATTATCCCCTTTCCCTAATTCCTACCACTCTTAAACATTTTTTTTAACTTATTCTTTTCTTCTTATCATTGGTTTTCTCTTCCTCTCCATCTCTACCTCTGCTCTCTTTTCTCTTTGGGATGTTTGGTTTCATCTGTGGTTCTTTGTGGGCACGTCTCACACCTTTTCTGTATCTTCTCTCCTCTTTGCAGCCGAAGACCCCCTGGTGCTCCGTCTCACCGGCCCACCATTATTCGTCCTGCAGAGCCTTCCCTGCTAGACTAGACCTGTGGCCAAACCCAACCTAGCATGTCTGTTTTGTTGTTGTTTTTTTGTTCTGGATGTGTGTCTGCGCACTCTTGGTTTGGGACGGGGAGCCTTGAGAGGAGGGGTCAGCTTAAAGCAATGTGTATATTCCATTGCATAGCATTGGATAGGTGTATTCAAGCAGTGTTAATAAGCTGCTAACAATGTGCATAGAAATAAAACAGCCCTTCATCAGTTTATTCCACATTTATCAGCCATGTATTACAAACTAAAACTCATCAAAGGCTCTAACAGTCATGATTTTTTTAATGTCCCATTTTGTTACATCTATAAAATAAAAATATTAACTGAAACAGGGTGTCTCTCCTCCTCTCTCCGCCCCCTCCCTTGAGTTTAGGCCCAGACAGTCTGTGTATAGAATACATACTTCAAGTTTTTCTAATGTTTTACTGGTTTCCCAACTCATTTCATACTGAAAACAATAGTTGAATATGACACTTTTGGTGGTATCGGTTATATATAATTTGTTCTTGCTTGTTTTAATTGGCTGTACTTAATGAGCATTAAAATGTAGCTTTAAATTACACTTTGATTGCAAGAGATTCATAATCTTTCTGCCTTTGTTTAGTTATACTTCCATACTGAAAAGATGTCAACAGGATTGAGTTTTTCAATCCAAGCACTTCTATCTACTGAGCCTTATAAGAAGCCACTCATAACAGGGATGCCAGAACACTATGCACACAACCCCAGGAGAGGGAGAGAAAAGCAGGCAGAAGAGTTTCTGCGCTTTCAAAGGTGTTGGGAAATAATCCTTTCAGTTTCGCCTCAGTCCTGGGGAGGTTTTCAGCATTGGAGTTTGATTTAATTCCTGGTTTGCTGATTTAAAAACGTCAGATTTCTCTTAAAGAGGATTGGATTTTGTGCTGCAGGGTGTCGATCAGATCCGGGTTACAGAGCAGGAATATTTTGTTTTCCCCCCTTAAGAACTGTTATTATTCTTATAGTTATCAGTTCTACTTTTTCCATACATCAGATTTATTGTAAATAGCTAGCCTTTACAGAAGAGATTACTCATGTCTCATTTTCTCACAGAGTTCATGGAATAAAGACATGCTGTTAGGCATAATCAAACCAGGAAATGTAAAAAGGACACGCGAGTCTTCATATTACATAAAGGTCTAACATTGTCATTTCATGGATTTTTAACCTCAGTGTTGAGAAAATGATTTTTCCAGCTCATATATTATTTATAGCTTGGGCCTTTTGTTTTTTCATGGATTCTGGTTCCTCTAATAGCTTCGTGCAGCTTCTTTCTTATTCAGCTCCTTAGCTTTTTGCCCGTTTGTTTGAATTCTGCTGCAGGGATTGGGTTTCAGAATTTGTTGGGAATAGTCCTGATCTTGACAAAACCAGCTGTGATTATATGCTGATAGATATCTGATTACTTTTTAAGGGTTTGTTCTTTATATTTATATATATATATATATATATATATATATATATATATATATATATATATATATATACTTTTTTTTTCTGGATCTTAACGTTTTGGGGGAAATGATTAAAGTTGGGAGTGATAATGGGCTGCTTAGGTTTCCTTTGATCGTTGGTGGTGGGTTTCAGTGTATAAATGCAGATCTTATCTAGAGAAGATTCCTAGAACACAGAGAAAACAAAATACTTAGGAAATCTCACATTACTCTGTAGACAGACTGGGTATTTTTGTGGTCTCTGTTTTTTTTCCCTTGCATTTATCTTGGTCTTGCTTTCTGTGACAGAGCTTCAAAACCGAAATAAATCAATGTTCAATCTGCAGAATATTGCTATTGTTTTAAACAGACCACTCTGTGGTTTACCTCCTGAATGCCTGTCACTCCAGCTTGTCCATGATTAGACTGTAAATGTGGGAGTCCTGTGTTTATGTACAGTATCATCCCTACTTCCTCTTTCCCTCCTCTCTAAATCTGTATGAATGGGGTCGGAAATGATCCCTAAAACATCTTTCTTTTTCTTTTTTGCAAACCCTTATGAAGTGCCTCTGTAGTAATTCATGCATTTTTAATAAACATCATGACCTGATTGAGAAAGAAAAGTCAATAAAGAGGTGTGTACAATAAAGGGACTGTTTTTGGTGGTTGGTGTCTTCTTTTGTCCTGTGTGATCAACTATTCCCTGTTTCTGTCTTTCATAGTTTAGAGAACCTTCATTAGTTTGCTGTCGCCCTAATTAAACGATAAGATATACTTTGCGTTCCAGTTTTAGGTTTGCTTTTATTTGTTGCAGTATTAACAGATGTTGCAACATTATTTTGGACATGAGTTATTTTATTGTTGCATACAAATGCATTCAGAATAATAGCAAGGCTTACAAGAATTAATTTAGTGTTTGTTTTTAACACGTTTAGGTCTACTCCAAAAAAAAAAAAACATAAAGAAAAACCTTAATCCACATTTTGCACTCGGCTGTCTGCCTTTCTGTTGACATTTACTGTAGAACCTGATCAAATATACTGGATTAATCTTTCCTGTGAACCGCTGAACTAATGTGTGGTTAAATTTTCTGTTTCTAAGAACTTTTTCGTGGGTTGTAATTTGTCCACCACCTCCTTGCATCTGTAAAGCTTTTACCACCAATGATGATTGGTCATCTCTCCTAAGCTCCTCAGAATTTCTTGGGTTTGCCTCCGAATCTGCATGTCTCGTGTCCCTATCAGTGTTTATTTTTATTGGAATAATGTTGTTCTTGTCTGACTACATCAGATGCTGCTTGCTTATCGGTGTGTTTAGTTTATCTTCATTAAAACACCCATAAGAATCCATAACCTCTCATCTAGTTTAATCTATAAAGTGATCCACGATCCATGCATGCCGTAAATCTACTGGGAACCAGAGTGAAAACCTTCCCATATCATGGTGTCTGAGCCACCATGCTTCACTGAATAACCTAGCTTCATCTTGGCATTACCACAGTGCTCAGTCATTTATTGGCCTATGCTGTCCTCATTTATTCAAATATCTGTTTTCTTTTCTGGTTCTGGTTTCCATTTTAAAATCTAGGTAATTTACTCTGTTTTATTAAATGTTTCCACTGCTTTAAATCAATATTTTAATAAGGTATAGAGAAGAATGTGTAGAAGACCCAATGGTACTCGGATTTTAGGAGGAAAGCTCTATAACCAGCATGTTTTTTTTTAAATTAGAAAAATTATCTCAATGTTTAATCTCTAAACTGCTGTCATCTTGAACACACTTTTTCACTTGCTTATTTAGTTGCACACTAGGCTGCCTGCACCTGCATGTTTGTGGTCTTTTGGGTTTCTATCGCTTTCCTCCTACTAGCATTGCTGCCATGTAAAAATATAATTTCTAAAAATAATTACTAGATCTAATTTTTGGCAGCAAGAATCCTAGTTAGTTTCAAGAAGTTCATCTACCACCATTTTTAAGGGTGTAGGTTACATATTATTCCTTAAATTTTCCAAATGTTCATGTTCAGCCTTTTCCAGCAGTCCTAATTCTTAAAAATTACAAACCATGAATTTTATCATATATAATTTATCTATTATTAAAAAAAAATCAGATTGCGGCAAAGCTGATCTGCAAACACCATTCTATGCTGCATTTCACAAGGTCAACACTAACAGTGACTGATTGTTCCTGAACAGGCGCCCTCCTCCGGCTCCCCGTGGAAAACAGTGGTGACTTCAAACCAGCAGACGGGATGCTTGAACAGATGCTTTGGTAATGGAGACACAGAGGAGCTGCACCTTTTTTATGCTTTTCTTCCAGAACACAAATCTGCATCACAAGGTGCAGACAATGTTTTAAAACACCCAAAGACGACTTTAAGCCTTTATTTTTGTGGTAACCATGAAAACGAAATGAATATTGAACACATCTAGAACTGAATGCTTAAATTGTTGAAGACCTGTTCATTAAACCTTTTATCTGACAGTGATAAAACAAAGGCTACACATTTAACATTTTTCTAAAAGAGTTGATGATCAAGAAAACTTTCCAAGAGAAAGGCTGTTACATTTACAGAAAATTAGCAGAATTTAAGTGTTGTTACTAAATACTAAAACATAAAACAGGGCTTGTATTTACATAAAGTAGCTTTTATCTTTGTGACCACTCAAGATCCTCTAATGTGTGTAATCAGGGTTTTTTTTTTTTTGTTGCTTTTTTTGTTTTTTTTAGACTTTGTTAGAAAAATGTTTGTTTTGCATTTAGATCAAATTAACCAGTGAGGGTGGCTGTTGACTTGGCTTGTAATAAAGGTTTGAAATGATTCAGTGAGACTGTAAATTATGTTTATAAAATAAAATGATTGAGAACAATTTTGGCTGCTGAAAATATTTCTAAATGTCTGTGCACAAAGATTTTCATGATTGCGTGTTCTTATAATCGTAGAAACTCCATATATCTGCGTCTACCTGCATCTCTCATCCGTTTCAGTACTAAAAGTGAAACTCATGCATTCACTGTATAGAAAGTGACATATTACTGGGGTTTTCATTTCAATTAGGATAATTGCTTAAAGTAAAAGTTGAAAAATTGAAACCAGCAATTCAGTTTTTTTTAATTCAATTTAATCACTAGATCAGATGGAATAAAACAAACATATAATTGCCTATCAATGGGACTAACAGAATCAAGGGGACTATTTTAGGCAATCACTGATCACCCCTAATGGTAAACCACACAAGTTTGTTGCCGGCTGTTCATAACCTAACATGAGCCTATTAATTGGAAGTTGTAGCTTTAAATATTCCCACTCTGTGATTAATCCAGGATGGACCACGACTGTCTCAGAGAGTCAAAGGCAGTAATTCAGATTTATTTTTTCAGCTTAAAGTAGATTTCACATTTCATTTGGGAACTAAAGTCCAAAAGTTTGGACTAGGTGTGCAAAAGGAACCAAATGTAAACCTCTGAATTGCAGTGTGACGACATTTTACAGTCAGTGATTTAGGCAGCCATGTCTTCTGCTGTCCAGGTTGTTGGTTTTCTCTATCGGAAAACTTCATTGAGATCCAGATTATCATTCTTTTATATGGTATAAAAAGATTTACAAGAGAAAAAAAGTTCTCCCTGGCTTTAGCTTATCAACAGCTGTCAGGGCGTCCTGTGTGGGTTGAAAGTAAGGAAGTGGTTCTGTTGTCATGTGCTGACCCGCTTGGTACCATCAAAGAGACGTTTCAGGGTGTAAATCTGAGTGACTGCTACACCCATTATCACCAGCAGGTTTAGGCAGGACCAGAAGGACACTCGCCACAGGTTGTCTTCTAACAGGTAGCGATCCCTGGCCTCAAAGGCCCGCAGGACTGTCTGCACCTGGCGACTCTTTTCCAGACGTCGGTACACAGAGTCCATCCTCCCCTGGAACAGGTAGATGAAAAGACATCAGTGAGATGCAATGGGACACCCACATATAAGACGTGAAGAGTTTCCCCTTCTCACCCTGATTTCTTTAAGCCTGTAGTCCACCATTCTGTCGGACACAGTGAAGTCCGCCCAATCCTCTTGGACTCCAGGTGTTTCGCTCTGGCTGTTAATTATGACTTTGAAAAACACCATCTTCTCTGACATCTTGCTGAAGCTGTTGTCGAAGCATAACCTGTAGTCTCCATATTCTGTGGGATCTACCCTGCAAGAAAAGATGTTTTATTATGTAGAACAAAATCTAGGAAAGATGTTATTTTAACCACAAAGTTTAGTTTCTTTAAAAGAATTTTATCTGTCACACTCAGTTAAATCCACTTTTCTATAGAAAGAGGTACATTTTTAACTTAACATTGGAAGGCAGGTAGAGATCCTTAAAATTTGAAGCTTTAGCTTCAGATCATCAGGAAAACATGTAGAACACCCACATGTGGATGCCGTCAGACGTCCTGAACTCAGAGACCAACCGGTACCCGCTGGGTGAGATTAAAGCGAACCCAACATCCAGACCAGATCCTGCAATTACCTTAAGAAAAAAAGAAAAAAGAGTCACGAATAAAAAGTTTTTTCTTTAGTAGTTTTCCAATGTAATGCCCAAGCTCACCTCACGCTATCTCTATAACTGCTACCTGAAATTCAAATAAAAGACCTGATAGGAAACCAAATAACTCAGAGCGGCTGAGGCTTCCCAGTTTGTAAAATTAAACTCATTAGGCTCCGGCTGCAGAAAATAAAACAGTTTCTCATGATAGAATCGCACTTTGGAGGACAATGAGGACCAAACTGCTGGTCAATGGTAGTGAGGACACAGATGCATTTTTAATGAACACAGCTTCCAGTGTCATTAGACAAAGGCTATGGTGCTGATGGTGATAAGAAAAGGGGAAGTAATGCAAATATCAAGCTCATGAAATGACTGCATGCTTTTTCATCACTAAAATTAGGAGTGCTGTGTTATTTCATTTCAGGCTTTGTTTTGATTATGTTTAAGACCAAAAAACTACAATAATTTAATGCTTGAGGTTTGTCGCTTAAATCCCCATTAAAGGCAACACACAAACATGTAGAATATCTTTGTTTCCCTAAACAAATTTAAGAGCTTTTTGTGCATAAAAATGTGAAAGACTGCCCTGATTTTTGGAAGCGAAGAATAGGTAATGTTTGCTTCCTATTTTCAGCTGGATCATATAACTAGCCTCTCTGTCACTGCATTGTTGGATTTCCATCCTGCCTTATTATCTTGCATGTGTCTGTTACCGTTCCCCTGGCTCCCTTATCTCTGTGATAACAAGGCCAAAGTCCAAACCGTTCCCTCGATCTCTTGCCCGCAAAAAAAGAAGTCTCAAACAAAACATTCAAACACAAACAAAGACGCTCCAAAGTTTTTGCGTTGTTTTTACCTGGTATTCCACTTCCATGGTGTCACTTGTCACGGTTGTTTGGTAAAAGCACTCAGTGCTGCCAGCAGGTAACATGAACGTAAACTCCATGTTCTGGTTTGGCCCCAAAGCCAGCCCCACAGTCAGAGTCATACATCCCATCAGACAGAGCTGTACAGACGCAGGCATAATAAACAAGTCGAGTGATTACAGTTCCTCTTTCACAAACCCTTGGTAATTTTTCCCATGTAAAAAATGCACAGTGGGCCAAACTCTCTGAATGTGTGTAATCGCTTCCTGACATACTCCACTGGTTGAAAAATGCTTTCCTGAGTCAAAGGTGAGTCAGTGGAGCCGCTATCTGTGGATCAGAAGCTCTGCGGTCTGGACTTCACACTCACACGTGTGAGTGGAGTGCAATAAAAGACATGAAAACAATGTTTTAGTTTTTCCCTATTCATTACTCATTATGTAGGAGTCTCTTTTTTTTCCAGTGCAACTGAAATAAACAGGATTGTAATGGAGCTCAAAGTGTATGACTAACCTGATAAGATCAGCTTAGAAGGAGACTAAAAAGGTCACAGTGAGTTGACATGAATTAACTCACCCTTTTTTCTTAGCTTTTGTTTCATTTATTAATGAGTCATCATAGTCATCAACAATAGCATACAGAATGTTTATTTTTTTTTTATTATTCATTAGCTTTTTCTGTAGGGGATAGCAAGTTGCATTCTGTCCCAAAGTGGAGGGCTTCCCACCTGGTGGTGTGTGGCCCCCAGAGCTTCATTGAGCTGGCAAGGAGGCACAGAGCTGTAACAGGCTCTGGTGAATGCCCCGCCTTCCAGACCTATGAGGGATTGTCCAATCAGAGTATACAATATGCCTCTTCTACCTAGAGCACCCTACATTCTAATGGCCCCAGTGAGGTGGCCCAAAGGGTGAGCTAAGGCTGAAGGGCTAAAGGTTGGCCCTCAGCCAATCATCAGCCTCCTCTGTGGCCAACCCTATCAGGTGATTTATTGTTCCACAGTGGACCTAATAACTGCCTCTGGAACAAGCAGTTCATCTCTAAAACTGAAGGTGGCAGCATTGACACTCTCAAGTGGAAAGCCCTACCTAAATTAAGATTTTAATTTTTCAGTAAAAATAACCAAAGGTGGTCTCCTTATGATTGTCATCAGCTGATCTAGCTGCTAAGGGCAGGAAGGAAAGTTATGGTATTTTTCTATTCTCACCACACTTACAAAAAAACTTTACAAAGTTGCATTTATGCAAACCTACATTGATTCTAATACAGTGGTGTCCATACTTTTTGCTTTGGGTCTCAAAAATGCCCAACAGAAAGTACTCTAGAGCTACAAAATTGATGTAAAAATATTAAATTAAAAAAGTAAATGATATTTTATTTATTTTTTTAACTGAAAATTTTGTTTTTTTTTTTAAATGAAATATGTTTGACTTGGAGCTAAAGGATTTTTGTTAATAAAATCTTCTATTTTTGGTGAATTTATTCCATGTATTTGCAGAATGATCTGTTTGGCCATGAATTGAGCTCGATTCACACTTTCATTTGTTGTTCTAACTCACAGCCAGAAGGGCATTTGTTCATAAACAATATATAACAGTCTGAATAATATCTGATTAAATAACATATTTACCGCCCCTACTGGGGTGGGCAATAAATATATTTAAGTTGCACAACAACAGGCTACAATATATGTCGTCTGACTACTTTAATGCTGGATTAAGTCTGGGTTTAATAAAGTTATTGATGCTAATAGTTCTCACTTAAGATATGCTTTTTATAGTGTAAAACTTTCCTGGTTCCTGTTGGTAGCCATCTTCCCTGTGAGGTATGCCTGAAATACCACAACAGAGTAATCAAAACACAAAAGTATTTAATCAGTGATACTGCTTAGGCAGTACTTAAATATATGTCCTTTTATGAAGATTTTCCTAATTAGTTTTGAAAAGAATTGAATGCTCTAGCTATTTTTAAGTTTATTTTTTACTTATCTGGCAGACTAAAGAAAAAATGCTGGTTAAATTAATAACTTTTATCCTAGATTAATATTCGATCACAGTAAAATAGTTTTTCTCTCTTACACTTTGATCTAATTAGTGTGTCCCTGGTAACATTTGAAGGCCGAGCCAGTAAGGGTGTTGATTAAAATCGATTTAGCTGGAAATACTCATGTATCAATAATAATGATGAATATTAGTATTATTATTGAAATTATTAAATAAAGGAAAGAAGTGATAATATATCTGCTATTTATTGGAATTTTCATTTCCAATGTCAACCCTATTGTGGCTATTATTTACTTTGACCCTAGAAGGCGCTGTTTGTTCTGCACAACTCTACTATGCTGGCCACTTCTTTCTTACCACAAAACACAAAGGGAGGAACTCAAACATAGCAAATAAATATATATGTAGAAATATTAACAAATTTAATAAAGATAGTTGGAACTGAAACTCAGATATTGATTCACTCTAAAGGAGTATGTTGTGTTTTTTTTTTTCTTTCTATTTTTATATCTCCAGCTATACGGGTGAGAGGCGGGGTACACCCTGGACAGGTCACCAGTCCATCACAGGGCAACACAGAGACAAACAGGACAAACAACTATTCGCTCACACACTCACAAGGAGAATTTAGAAAAGCTAATTAACCTAACAGGTATGTTTTTGTACAATGGGAGGAAGCTGGAGTACCTTGAGAGAACCCACCCATGCACAGGGAGAACATGCAAAGACCCCGGGCCAGTAATCGAACCTGGAACCTTCTTGCTGCGAGGCTACCCACTGCGCCACTGAGCAGCCCTACGTTAATCCAAATTATCAAAATAATTCCTTCTTGCTAAATAACAATAAAATCTGTTCATTTTATGTAGTTTTCAATAAAGTTTACATTCATTTCTTTGGTTTCAAGCTGTTCATCTGGGGTTTTGTTTTGGGTAGTTTACTACTTTTGCTAAATAATGTGGAGGTATTTTTACCAATTGTGAGAGACCTGCAATAATTGAGTCAGGTTAAAGTTCTTTCACATATTCTGCTTCTCTGGAAGACGGGGGCAGCAATCTCAGCAGAGAGTCCCAAACATCCCTCTCCCCAGACACCTTCGCCCGCTCTGCTGGGGGAAGCCCGAGGTGCTCCCATAGTCCCCCCAGCGTGTCCTGGGTCTTCCCCTGGGCCTCCTCCCAGTGGGACATGCTTCTGAGGGAGGATTCAAGGGGGCATCCTACAAAGATATACAGTACGAGCAATCTCAGCTGACTACTCTCGGTGTGGAGGCGAAGAGGCTCTACTCCAAGCCTCACCAGTTGATCGATCTCCTCACCCCATCTGTAAGGGAATTCCCAGCCACCCAGGGGAAAAAGCTCATCTCAACCGTTCATATCTGGGATCTCCTTCTTTCTGTCATCATTCAGATTCCATGACCATTAGTGAGGGTAGGAACCAACTAGTTAACTTAGAGCTTTGCATACCGTGCTCAACTCTGTCTTCATCACAACAGGAATCCTGAGGTTCTGAGTTCAAGCCCCACTCCCACTGACTGCCACTCTGGGTCCCTGAGCAAATATCCTTAACCCTACACTGTTCTCCATGTGCCCCACAATGGCGGCCTGCTGCTCCTCAAGGGGATGGGTTACATGCAGAGTGTTTATTTCATTGCTCTGTTCTTGTGACAGTGTAATGACAATACAAGCTGAAAAAAAAACACAACAAAACAGAGCAGTGTTTGCATTAAAGCAGCAGCTGCTGAAAGGATCAAGATTTCCAAGAGCTACTAGAAGAATTTTGTTCAATATATTGGGTGAAACACAATTGAATGCATTAATCTTTGTTTACAGAGGCAAATAATAATTGCTCGAGGTATATTTCATTTGCTGTGTATTTACTATTAAGTTTTACCAGTAAGCATCTACTGATTGTAAATAAAGGTAAAGAGCCACACATATGTATAACAAACAAAGGAAAAAAAATATAATAAATATTTTTTTACTAACATGAAATAAAGGCTTGTAACGTATAAATGCAAAAGCTTATGTTCTGTAATTGATGGTTATTCAGGGCTTATTAGAAATCAGTGAGGTCAGAAAAGGGGAACAGTTTAGGTTTACAGGGTTTTTTTTGTTTGCTCGTTTTTAAGGTGTCAGGTTGTGGCCTGAAACACATAGTAGATGGTTCCCTAAGAGCCTCAGGTCAGTTTTTCTCTACAAAAACATTGTCTCGTGACATTGTCCTCATGACGTGTTCATCTTTTTTAATCCAGTATATGTCTAGTCAGCCCACATATCAGTATCATAGCAAAGTGCTTAAATGATCTTCAATCACTGATGTATGTGTGTGTTTCTGCTTGGTTAGTGAGTATATGCAAATTACTGCAAATAAGTCTGTTTATGTTAAGTGGATGTATGTGAGTTTATCACTTTGAGATGTACATTCTCAAGTGGTACAAGGACCACTTGAGAATGTACTTGAGAAGATCCAGAGTCAGAGGTCTCCATCATACCTTATGTCCGACTAGATTCTTTATCTAAGGCTCTGTAATAATTTTATGTAGTTTTCAATTAAGCTGACATACATTTCTTTGGTTATAAACTGCACACCTGAGGGGTTTGTTTCGGGTAGTTGCTTTTGCTAAATAGTGCACGTGCTCCATCTGCTAGTGGAGCATAAGGACTAACCACAGTGATCCATCTTTGCACCTCCTGCTACCTTCTCTCTGGTTTAGGTTAAAGCCTCAATTTAATTTAATTGTAAGAAAGGACAGATCATGATTTTTTTTTTTTTTTAATCATTGAGTGCATTTAGAAATTGTTACCTGGCTTTTGATACAGAGGTAATGACTTTTTCCATCAGATTGACTAATTTCACTGTGGAAAAAAACACATTCTTAGACATTTTACAAACTCTCTTATTTTAGTTCTGGGATTGATCAGCACAAGATATTTCTCTGAGAAGCTGTGTCCTTTCCAAAGAGCATGATGGCATAATATTCTAACAGTGTTAATACTTGCGAAGTTCCTCGAACTTCTTTAGCCTCCTAGAAATGATAAACAAGACTTGCTTGGGTTCACCTTTCTCTCCATGATATCTGGGCTGTTTTTGCTATCTTTTTCCTTAAAGTCACACAAGGTAGCGGTATGTTTGAGATTTTAACTTAAAATATATTTAAAGATTTGCTTTAGGTAACTCAGATGTCAGCCCAGGCATCATTATTTTGGGCTATCCTAAGATATTCTAAAAACATTATATTTTTAGTTCATGTAAACTTCTGAAACTGAGTTGA